TTGAGTTGAACACATTCATGTTAGCGTGAGTAATCAAACGTGTTGCACATGTTGACTGAAATGAGATCGACACCCATTCCACTATTAACCTCCGGCAAAAAAAAAAGGAAATCCTTCAAATTTCCAAGGTAAGTAATGGCCTGATGCGGGCAGGGACTCCAAGCTAACTAGGACACATGGGAGTCTGGGCTCGGCAAAGTTGCTTTGGGAATCTCCAGAGCTCTGTAAGCAAATTCGTTGCAATTTGCCCCAGAACAGTCTGTTTTGTTGTGACAATTTTGTGTGACTACCTCCTCCCCAAATCAAATTGGTCCTGAGCACTCATGCATGGTATCTGACTTTCGTGTTAAAACAAAAGTCAGTAAACAAATCAGCAGGCAGTTGATGTAGGGCTCATCTATGACAGTTCTAGCTCCTCGAGTAGAGCATCTGAACATGTAGGGGTTGCAGAATCCAGCAAAGAAGCTCAACCTCCCCTCCCATCAATTTTCTAAAAACAAAGCCACAGTTTCTTCTAAAACAATAAATCAGTTCATTGTTCAAACAGAAACTCATTTTCAAAAGAAAAGTGGCCAATGTCGGTCACCTACTCTAACACTATCAGAACACAAAAGACAGGACCATCTCACATTCATACAAGTGATATTCACTAGCCCAAATGCCCACGATACGCCCTGTTCTGAACAAAAGCCAGCATTTTTCATTGAATTTCAAACATGGCATGAAATATTTGCAGGGTTAGAGGACAGAAAAGACAAAATTTTGAAATAAATTCTTTTTCCCCCAACAATTAACTTATCTGGGGCCGTAGGAAACAAAAAGTGAATTTAGTCCATTAGTTTCTTTATCAAAATACTTAAAACGCTGTCAGGAATAAAAAAATGTCTTTTTTTTTCGTTTTTTTTTTAAATTGCATTATTTGGAGTTGGTGGGTTCATAATCCATCTCAGGAAAACTGTTGGTCAAAGATATGTTGGACTACCAAATTGGCTTATTTGTAAGTGAAAGTAATAGCACACACTACATGTAAGCGTAGGTTTTCTTACAAGAGATCATTTGCCGCTTGGAGGTCGGCGATCTTCTTCTCGGTCACTTCCATCCACTCTCGGTACTTCTCCCCCCACTGGAGTTTCATCTGAAGACAGACACAAATACAATCAAAACCCTATTAAGTTTTCACAAACACTAAGACTTAGTGCCTGATTTAATGATCAAATAATGGAATAAGTATGTGCTTGGCCACTAGATTCAGACTGGCCAAGCACATTCATAAATACCTTTTTTAAGTCAGAGTCAAAAGAAGTCAAGATTTCCAACAATTTTGTTCTGGAATTTTACTTTCTTTTTCCTGTACACCCCCCGTCCTTTTTACTGTGTATTCCCTGTGCAAATTGTTCAGCCAAATCTCCATATGATATGAACTATCAAAATGTTAATACACGGTCAAGTTGCATGCGGCTGGATGGGGAGACTGTCGGAGGTATTTATGAATATTCCATTATTATATTCCACTTTGACCCTTTCCAAAACGAATTCCAGCATCTTCTCTAAAAGGTTTGGCCAGTATTGAACCTGATTTTGCTAAGCATTTTTTCCCTGCACTAAGCACATTTGTAGACTTAATAGCCTTGCACCAGTTTATTAGTTTGACAACTAATGACAGAAAACAAAAGATTGTGAGACTTGATTATTCCATTTTCCCTCCAAAACTCATGGAAAAGCCAACAAATGTAGCCTCAACTCTCAGAAAAACCATGCTAATTTTACAAAAAAACATTCTAAATGTTGCCCCCCCCTTAAAAAAAAAGAAAAAATACTGGCACCCAAATAAAGTTAGTTCTTCATCTGCCTCTTCCTCCAGAAAGAGAAGGCCCCTAGATGTGAAGGCAGGACATGTACTAAGCATACACTCAACACCAGCCCAACTTCCCAAAATGAACCCCTGTACCTTCAGGTTCAGCTGTTCCTCTTTCTCACACCACTGCGCCTCCTTAATGCTTAACTCGCTAAACAACTCCTCAAACTTCTCCCTCAAATCACCGTTTTCCTTCTTCAGCTCCTCGTTGAAGAGCCGGAGCTCCTCGTTATCAGACTGCAGGGATTTGTTTTGCTGCTTCAAGGAGGCGATTTCTTCCTCGTGATTGCAGGATGTCGGCGAAGGAGAAGTCTGTAGCACAAAAGGCAAGAGCTACTTTTGAACCCAGAAGAACTATCTATCTCAGTTTTGCAGAACTGAGGTTGAAAAGTGCTCATGGAAAGATGTATACAGTGCCCACAGGGACAGGACAGTCACGTGTGCGTCTGGAGGTAACAGTGTCCTTTCATTTGGATAGAGTCATTCTCAGAGGGCTGCCGTAGGATTTGTACACAATTTTCCAGTCAAGAACCCTCACCCATTTAGACCTGTCCCCCTTGAGCAGAAGCTCCCCCTCAGTGGTTGAAAATAGCCATGTTTGTTGAGGGTGTTCATTTTGTTGGTAATAAGGTGCCCGTAACGCATGCATTTCATAGTCGTTTGTGAGCCAGCGAAGTGCAGTGCCAACCAATGGAGCCACTGTTGCTAGGAAAATTGCGCCCTCTATTGGTCCAGCTCGGGGCTCATAGCACGATGACATCCCTGATTGTTTATGTGTGCTATTCTATGGCAGAGAGATGGAACATGATACATCAAGCTCCTATAGGAAAGAGCACATGTATGCAAACAAAGCATGATGTCATTACCGGTATGTAGGTCTCCTGGGGATACCTATACCGAGTATGGTGAGTCAATGTCAGTGGGGTAGCACCAGGGGGGGATGTTCCCCCCCCCACAAATTCCCAGTGCCCCTCCCCCCAACTTAAAAAAATGTATGAATGGATATTGAACAAAGGTAACAAAAACTTGCCCCGAAAAAAAACCCGCACCAGTAAAAGCTGATGCCCCCTATAAGATGCTGGTGTACCCTTTGTAACCCCTCCCACTAGTAAAATCCTAGCTACACCACTGGTCCATGTATGTACACGGTCATTTCAATTCCAATGCCCACAGTGTGGAAACCAACGTTCACACATCTATCACGGGTATACACTGATAGGTTTGCCCTTCTGTTGTCCATGTACTGTACATTCCTACTAGTTCTAAAACAAGGGTATCCATAGCATTCGATTGCTACAAGAAGTTTTTGATATGTCTCAGGCAAGGGAATGCTCGTGAATGGAGCACGGCTAAAACCGGTGATGTTGTCATGAAGGAAAAGAAACAGTCATTTTTCATTTTCTTTTTCCAGAATCATTCACCTTTTTCATTTTTCGCAACGATTCCTGGTGGCTTCGCTTGAGTTCTTCCATCTCCTTTGTGTGCTGCAAATTCAGGTCGTCCATCTTTTGCTGGAGGTCACTGACCTTGGGGTCATTGCTTGACCTAACACAGAGGAGAAAGTCAAAAGACAAGTCTTTTGTGGGATGTTTGGTTTGAAGCAAAAACAAATTTTCTATTCAACAGCAATTTCTTCCCTTGTTATCTATTAAATTGTGGAAGAGACAACTAAACTTAAGTTTGCACATGTAGGCCTACCACTTGCTTTCACTCTAAGTCAGACTTTAATTTTAACATGGTAAGGTCATCATGTAACAACCAGGTTTCCAAGAGTAAATTAGGCTAGGCCGATGCTGATTTTCATTAAAAAAAATATTTGTCGCCCATGATAGCATTTGTTATATTTTACCTGTGTTCCGTCATGGAAGTTGTGACATATTCTTTCTGTTTCTTGTGAACAGTCGTGTTCTTGGCTTTCCTCAAGTCATCTAACCTTTTCTTCAGTGCTGCTACTTCTGCCTCTAACTGGTAAATTAAAAAGTAGCCAAGCTGAATTGAGAACATTTTCCATTAAAAGTGCACAGACAAAGATTGTGCGAGAGAAAAAAGCTGTACAATTGTAGGTAGACGATACTTGATAGCGCAGTGAAGCGGGTAGCCCTGGATATAGTAAGACTAGTGCCTACCTCTTCCACTCGGCTTTTAAGAAAATAAGCATCATTTTTAGCTTCTGCAGCTTTGGAACTCGCGCTGGTTCTAACAGGCCGGGACATGTTACAGTTGAAATATTCAAAGAAGAGCCACGAAATCAAGATGGGACTGGAAAGGTGTACGGGACAGCCAGAATTTTGGCGATTGTACAGTAGCCAGCAGAAGCAGGTGTTTTACAACTTCCTGGTTACGTGTACACGGTTTTATGCAAAGCTAGCCTTTGACCTTACTGTAATCTAGTCTTTAATTCAGCCTGCAAAGCATGGATAGCCCTTGTATTGAATGGCTTCTGTGCAACCGCTACAGCATACCCGCATTGGAAAAGGCTAGTAGGCCTATAATAAAATTACTCAGCGTCCCTCTCGCGAATTAACTCGAGAATACACGTGAAGACGCTATTTAAATTTCAAAATGGAGGTGTTACTGTTTATAAACAGTGGAAGGCAGCGGTAGCGATATTTGATCCAGTTCAAGACTAGGCTACAAATCTGTTATTTTGCAAAGCCATGATTATTTGGAATCTTTGATCTGAGGGACTGTGAAAGTGAGGTAAAAAATGAGCTTGCAGTAACTGTTCTACCATGTCTAGAAATACTAATACTATACTATTATTAAGTACATGTACGGCCCTAGGCCTGTTTATGCAATGCATGATGATCCCTTCACTTCAGTTTCAAGTTCAGGCCCGGCCCAGGTGCCCAGGCTACATCACTGTCATGACTGTAGGGCCTACATTGTCAATGTCAGTACTACAGACAGTAGGCCTTAATGTGGTACATGTAAACTGTCCATGTATAATCATGATTTGCCCCCTCTCATGCCTGTTATCACTGGTTATTGGGGCATGCCCGCACCGCATGGGGCCTTCTTTCGCATTTCGATGTCATGTCATCTGTAGCCTAGGCTGTATAGGGCCTATGTAAACAGTATGGAGTACAATACATGTACATCATGCGCACAGTTACAACTTACATGTACATGTATGATGTAGTGTGTAAACTTAACGTGAGAACCAGCGCATGAACTAACCATGCTAACACATGCACGTACTTGTTGCACTCTACTTTCTGGTTCAAAATGACGTCACACCTTGGTAGTCAGTGGTAGTGTATACATGTAGTCAGCAAAGCATGCAGGGGACACACATGTCACACCAACTACATGTACATGTAGGTTGGCGCCTCGAGTGGGCATGGTGGGGGATTGACGCTAATTTAAACCAACCCATCAATTAAAAAAATTCCCAACTGCCTCCTTGAAAGCTGACACAGTCAATGGCAGGGTGATGCTAACCATAGTGTAACTGGTCGAGCAGGCCGGGGCGTGGATAAATGAGTACAAACTAACAACCCTAAAAAAAAGCACACAGCAACAAGACAGACTTCGTGGCAACCTCCCAAAGTTAGTATTGAAATCACACAAAGCAAACGAGTATTTACAAAGAGATCCAGAAGGCAAATTACATGTAACAAATGTAGATCAATTACATTATTGGGTAACAGTAAGTAGTAAGACCAGTGCAAGTGCGGGGCTGGAGGAGAGAGCATGGTTTAAGGTAAAGAAACCTAAACGTAGAAGTGGCTACAAAAATAAAGAAACTGAAAGAATGACCAACGCCCCAGTGCACGCAGCAGTGTTATATACCTGCAGAGTGCACCCAACTAAAAAGAGTTTGAGAAGTGTGCGCTGTATGCCCGCAGGTGGAGCTCAGGTATTTGTTCTAGTCCTTTACTGTTCTGGGGAAGAACGTGTTGTCAAAAACCTTGCTGTGAGTACGGATTTGCAGTTGTTTTTTTGTCATGTTTGTATGACCCCTGGAGATTCAAACATTCGGAGTGAGGATACCATCAGAGCATCGACCAACTTGTTGACTACAACATCATGGATAATCTGTTGATTTTACGCCACGTCTCAAGGGATGACCAAGTTCCTTGAGTACATGCACATGTATGTTTATCACAGTGCCAGATGTTCTACTAACTATACAGTAGTTGTCCACTGTAACTTGGATCGTACGTACAAATCGCCTTTTTTTTTAAATTAGGACATTGTCGGGCAAAAGTGGGTCCAAGTACTGGTACCTTCCGTAGGCTTTTGCTTCCATTAATTCATTTCACTCAAAATAGCTTGTACCCCGAACAAAATCCTCCGAATTCTCCTCCATAATGGTCCTCTAAAGAGTCTAATGCATCTGGCTTTAGTTGGATTCGATTAGGGCAGGCGAAAGGCCTAAGTGGGAATCAGACATTCCAATAATGATGATAAGGTTTACTCACACTTGGGATGAAAAGAGAAATTTTCCCTTCATATCGGAAATGGTCTTGTCATCAGGCATGATGTCGCAATCTTTTTCAATTAGCGATTTGAACTGTGCCTCTAGCAGACCAAAAAGCATGACCAAAAACCATGCCATGTCGGCAAACGCGCGCCGACGACTGATTCCTGAGCGCCGTGTGTCTGGTAACTGTGATCACATTGAAACTGTACTCTTGCTTCCATTAATTCATTTCGCTCAAATAGCTCATTGCATTGTCGTATCTCAAATCAAAATCCTTCAAAATAGTCCTTAAACTGTCTACTGCAGGTTCTAAGTATTAGTACTGGTAGTTAAGCTCTACATTTTGTTTCCAATTTGCACATTTAATTAAAAAGTCCTCCATATTGAAAATGGAAGTACATTATACACGTACATGTATAACAGATTTTTGTTATAGCTTTCCATAGGTAAAGAATGATATGTATATGCATTGTGGCACAACCATTGTTCTAGGTAGGGAGTGATTCTCACCCAAATTAATATTTTGATCTTAGGTTTTAGTTGTAAAGTTGACCAGGGCAGATGAGGTGACCTACGCGTACACGTATGACCTACTGTCAAGATGATGGGTGACCAGCTGATCTTAGAGGAGGACTACGATGAGAATTACCAAGCGACAGAGGAAGGTGAGATTAAGGAGGCAAACTCGACTTGGACAAGCTGCTCTCCACTTGTCAACCAGTCTTTGACTATAAATTGCATCCCCTTGACTTTTTCTGCAAGCGAGCTTCTGGAATCCATTGTGAAGCTGCGATTGACCAATTGCACCTGCTAAATCATGAGGCCTTTACTTGGTACACTGTACATGTATAAAAAATCATCAAACATGGCATCCCCTCATAGCAAAGTGTGTCATACTGTAAGTGTCATTTATCGACAGCGGATACAGTACTCAAACTACTGATGTGCTGAATGCCGTATCAAAAATCAGCGTTACTGATGGTAAGCAACACTGAAGCAACACACTTTGCTGTGGGTTGAAGCCGTGTTTCTTGATGTTTAATTCCCACAAGCATGACAATAGGTCACGTGACTTAGTGGGCGCAATTGGTCAATTGATAAGTGTACAAGGAACCATGCCTTTGAAGCCTTTGTACGTTCACTTGCTAATGAAGACAATTGATCTGACATGCCTAGAGTACTTATTAAAAGGGGATATATTTTTGCCGGTTTACACATGTGCAGTACACTTGTAGACTCTGCAAATGTAGGTAGATGTATTTTGAAATCATTGCCTTCTTCTGACAGAATTTTTGTTCTTCCCTCAGAAATCCTGGAGTATGCTCAGGTCATTGGCATCGATGTGGACAAGGAGAAAGACTTGATGTGGATCGCGCGAGAAGGCATCAGCGCACCGTTGCCGAGTGACTGGAAGCCATGGTAACTGTCTCAGTATAAAATCTGCAGGATATTGTTTGCAGCCCATTCCCACTAAACCGTAACTTGCACCCTGTTATCTTTCGATCCTCTCTCTTAATTGTTTATCAGCTGAGCATTCCGGTTACTCCTCACTTTTGCCTCAGGAAAATTCAATTTCAGCCACTCTTGCAAAAACCAGGTGGGAGAATTACAAGTCATTATGTGTATGGAATGAATACAATGTACATACACTGAAGACAGAACAATTGCGCAGCAATGTGTCCGTTACCGTCACATGACTGACCGCAAACGACCCTTTAATGTGAATATCTGTTCTTTTTTACCTGATCACCAGACAACAACTGGACTTTTTTTTTTATTCCTATTTTGTTTCTTCTTTTCGCAGTCAAGACACAACGGGAGGAGACATCTACTACTTCAACTTCGCCAGCGGCGAGAGCACCTGGGACCACCCGTGCGACGAGTTCTACCGCAAGATGGTGAACGAGGAGCGAGAGAAGAAGCGACTGATGGGGGGCGGAGCTGGGGCCGGTGGAGGGGGAGGGGCAGGAGGAGGCAGTGGTGGTGGGGGAGGAAAGAAAGACAAGAAGAAGAAAGACAAGACGGAGAAGAAAGGAAAGGAGAAGAAAGATGTTGCGGGCAAGAAACTAGGAGGGGTACTTATTCCTCAAACATCTGAACATGTAGAAACATCATTACGAGCAAAGAATTTTTAATTGTTATTTTATTGTCGTAAAATTCCAATGTCGTTCCAACATACATGTATATTTTACTCCTGCCATTAATTTCTTTGTGGGTGGGAAGATACTATGAAAATGATTCTACGGCCGTGTCCAAAACGGGCTTCCAGAGCTACGGCTAGGTCTATTGTCTGCATGTCTCCAAGCATTTCCAATGGAGTGAAGACCTAGACCTTGCTCTAGACAGGAGATTCAGAAGCAGCCTAAGTTTGACATACGTGTATACCTTGGAGCAGCTAAATGAGCACTCACCTGTGGAGGAGCACACTCAATTGACAAATAGTGCAGTTTTCATGTTCT